ATGGGAATTATGTGCTATAGTCATCATTTCTCTATTTTCTATGTACTGTGTTTTTTTGTTCTTCTGTTTATCTATTTATCTTAGAATGGTATTTGAATAGAATGGTATTTGTGTCTTGTCTAAAGCTGCTGGGCTGATTGTTGACAACAAAATTCTGTGCATGCTTAGAATGACAACACCGTTTCTTATCGTATCTGATGCATTTTCTTAACCTCTCAGTTCTTATGTCAGTCATTTTTTTTGCAAGACCATTTTCCAGCACTTCAGCTGAGTTCATATCATTTCTTTCATTTGTAACATTCAACATTTAATTTCTTGAATCTGGATATAAAATCTCAATTCTTCCACACAAGTCGATTATTTCTGAACTATTTCTGAAAGAACTTTGCCTCTGAAAATGACTATACATTCAGAAATTATGTTACATACCCCTTGACCACTGATTTTATACCATACACCCATGCTCAAGCACAAGTTGATGGTCAAAACTGCTTTGTGAGTCTGTTTGGGATTGTTTATCCATTTTATTTTGGTGCTGCTGTGACTTTGCATGTGTACTGTGAGCAGAAGAAATATTCAAAACATGACCTTTACAATGCAGAAGGGAAAAAGTCACATACTGTAACTCTGCCGTGAAAAGTAAGTTTTGGATTTGTCCATGTAGATTATTTCCTCAGAGAATTTAAGTCTGTCAGGTTTAAATGCAGCATTGTGCATCCTGGAGGAGTCCTCAGAGTCACAACTGAAATAATTGCTTCTAAAATACAACAAAGTATTCAGCAGCCAGCTGTTTCTTTTTGTGATAGAGCCTACTTTATCCCACAGGTCTGACCTCTTCTCTGTACAGACTGTATGGACAATCTGCTGTTATATACAAAACAGTGGTCTGTTGCACCAGCCCTAATGAGCTCTGTCTTAAAGGAGCCATATGTAACTCAGACACCTACTGTTTAAAATGGGTACTGCAGTCTAAATTCAAAACATTGTAGAGAGCTGTCTCCCCCCGCCCCCTCCTCTCTAGAGTTGATGCTCACGCAGGTTGTCATGTGGTGGACACTGAAGCGTCAGTGTTTAGCCAGCTCTGCATCTGTCTGTAAACCTTTCTGTGTTCTAACCTCTCTCCATGTTTTAAAAGCATCTCCAATATTGATCCTAGTTTGAGCACATTTCTGCTCATGGAGCTTATTAGAAACATGCAGAGGCTTTTTAGGTCGGGTACAATCACTTCTATCTGAACCAGTTCTCTTGCCCGCTTCCGTCACTGCAACACCTGTTGGTTTGACCTGATAACTGCTCTCATATCTGGCACACTGAGGGGCATCCAAAACAGCCATGTGGGGGTGCCTTAAAACAGCCTACCTTCTCTGGTCCAAACAAATCCAGAGCATTCAGGACCAGACTCTAAAGTTAGAAGGAGGACATACTGGCTGCTGCATTGTTGTCAGAGAAGCCAGCACTTCAACATAGCATGTTTCCTTAATGTCTGATCATATAGTAAGGTCACTTTATCATTTAGCAGATCTTACTGATTGGACCTTTAAGTTTGATTCCAGACTAAACCCAACACTGAGACTGGTTAGTTTTCAGTAGTTGTTTTTGCGTTATTTTTTACTCACCACAGAGACCTCAAGTTCAGCTTAACTAGTAGAGCGAAAAAAATCCAAATTAACCAAAAATATTGTTGCAGACGTGAGGCTTGTGTGGATAAAATTATATTCTCTTGTGGAAAACAAAAGCAGGAGTACTAAAAAGGCGACATACAATTCTGACGGATGTAATCTATTACGAAGAACACGCTGAGGACACCAAACAGTCAGTAAAACCCTCTGCTCCTCCTCATCCTCCAAGTTATTCCACCTTTCAAAACCATCACCATGACAACCGATTCAACAGATGATTTAAGATACGTTGGAACTATCTCAGCTGGTGCAACACTTAAATGATAGTAGTCAAACCTAAATTTGAATTCATGTTTAAACTAGACTATATTTTAACTTTGGCATAGTGCAGGAAGCTGGTAGAGACGGGGATCAAGGAGATCAGGCATTATTTGGTATTCTGTATTTTATCTGAATGTCTAAAGAATCCGCTTAAAACAGTCGATTTTCTGTTCCAGTCCTCCATTCTCTGACACGGAGTGTTCTTCTTCGGTGCCTGCAGACAGGTTTTTTACACTTCTCCATTGGATTTCTGAGAAAGCAGAGTGCTGCCAGCTCAGGATCGCTCGATACCTTCCCACACCTCGAGCGTCTTCTGCAAACTGTCTGTCTCTCTCTTCACAAGTCTCCGTCTCTCTCCTTTCTCTCAGAGAGTGTGTTTGTGCACTCCTTAGCAGCTCACTCCAACACGCATCAAGCTTCACACCTTGGTAACATCCCTCAAGCTCAAATCCTCCAACACAGATGCTGAGAATGAAAGCAAGAAACAGTCCTAGTTCATTAAAGAAGCATTGCATTAAATCGATGACACCCCACAGAGAATCAAATGACGCCACTTAGACGTGAAAGATTTCACCGCTGCTGTAAAGAATAACAAAGGGTTCAAATATAAAGTATGTTTTCTGTGAGCTTTTATCTCACCCTTCGTAAATACATTACATTTTGTCCAATTTAACAGAAATCAGACCATAGAATCACATCATACTTGTTTCATTTCATATTCAGTGTTGTGGTCTCACCAAACTTTGAATCTGAGTCATGTCCTGAGTTTTAGTGCTAGAGTCAGAGTCGAGTCTGAGTCAGTTCCCCATTACCCGACACTGTCAGAGTTTGAGTTTTAAGCAGGTTCTTAAGTTATACAAAAGTAAGTGGCTGAATGATAGCATTTTTGAAAACTTCCTAGCTACCTTTAGAAATCAGCCGTTGTTAGCATACGACCACTCTAAAGCAAACATAATGATAGCAAAGAATTTGTTTTGTTTGCTTCCTGAAACCATATTACAGTAAAAAAAAAGAGACTTCTAGCTATACTAAAATTAGCCAATAAATTGCAAATATCAGCTCACACTAAGACAACAGCTAATGCTAGAATTCCACTTCCTCGCTAACATTACGTTAGCAAGGAATTTACTCCTCTGTATTTGAATCTTGAAACATAAAGTTAGTGATAGTAGATCTTAGCCAGGTAGTGGCTAACTCCCAAACTAAGCAGTTTTATGTAGGGAAGTTCAAGCCACTTGTTTCCTTGTCAGTTAAAAGGATATTTAAGAATCGCACTAGTCAAAATTAAAAACACTCAGAAAACAATGTAATTCCATTTGCCGAGTGAGGCTTTAAGGTTAGCAGGGCTAGCACCGCCTACCTTTAGTCCTCCCTATGCTATATGTGGTTACGCATTTCTCCTGTCAATTTGCCAGTTTGACCTGGCACAGCTTACTGTATGTACATTTTACCTCAATTATTGCGATCAAAATCCTGCCAGATGCACTGCCCCTACAAGATGCTTTTTCGTCACTGTGCTTGTTTACATCCAGGTTGTAGAGCCAGAGGAAAGGGCTCATTAGTTGGAGCTACAGACAGTTTATGGCAACAGCTGGGGGGCTGCATTGCAGTTTGAGCATAACATTTGACCAGCAGCAAGGGCCAACATATTAATAATTTATTAAATGACTAGTATTTATGATACCAACAAGCGAGGGTGATGTTTTGACTGTTTAAGCGACTTAATGCTTGTGTACTGTGCAAGGGTCACAAGTGCCTAAAACTTCTCAATATCTCAGTTTTTTGTGGCTGTCAGGTGATTTAAACATGCGCCATTTTGAAAAGATAGAAAATCAAAAAGCTGTTCCGTTGTGGCCGCCACTTTCCAAAGCTCTTTTTACCCTCTAATCCTCTGTGCTAGTCATATAACTGAAAGCTATCAATATAAGGACTTGAGCCTACTTTGAGCCTAATCATCAGACAATAACCCCCAAATGACTGGCTCTTTGCTCTTTGCATCAGGCGCTTTGTTAACATAGTGGTGACAATCCCTCATTCGTTTTTTTATTTATCTCTCCTGATCCCATCAATACTGTATGTCAGTATAACAATACAGCTAAGACAGTGGGTTAAGCATACTGGCTTTGTGCATTACTCTCCAGGTCAAAGGTCAGTCAGCATCTGTGTGTACTGTTCATTGTCGTGTGACTGACAGGACCACATGGAGGGATGCCTGGGGTCTCTTGGGGACGAGGTTTAGCCAAGCAAGGCAGGCAGTCACACGGCACCTACCGGGATAAACACAGCATGTGTGTTTGTGACTGTGTGTACGTCTGAGTGTTCGCAAGGATGTGTTTATATGTGTGAATGTGTGTGCTGTAGTGTATCTCAGGTCTGGCAATGCTCCAATGCTCAGGGCTAATGGAGTGCTAATGTCCCTGGTGAGCCCTTGTTTACTGAGCAGCTAAATACAGGAGGATAAGACGAGAGCCTTCGCCTACTTAAGCGAGACACTGCCTGCAATTTTGAATCACTGCTATCATAACACTTCCTGTATTTGCTCCATATACTGCATGAATCAGCACCATAACAATCCTCAGAGGCTGTGACTCTCTGTTTGATCCTGAACACCAGCAATTTATTCTATTGATCTTCACCTGTTGCTTAGAAGAAAGCTTTTTTTCCCCTGACCAAGTGGTTTGTATTATGAAGACTATAGAGAATATGAATGAGGTGTTCAGTTATGACTGAAGATCATTTATTTTACTGTTTCAAAGAGGTTTGTTTGTAAATCACTCTGTTAGCTGTACAGTAGCTATTAGCTCTCTATATTGTCGAGGTGTGAAATTAACTAGGTTCACAGTTTAGGGGGAAAAATACTTTTGGATTATAATGTTGTCAACCTGTGTCACTGATCAATGGGGATGTATCCAAAAGCAGATAGCGCCCTCTGCTGGTTAGAAGATGAGTATCTCAATATATTTTGTCATTTATAATTGTCCATAGTTGTATTGATTTTTGATTGGTTAGGTATCTTTAGAGGCCATCTAATTAAATGTTTTTCCCTTTTCTTTGTCTCAGTAATTGAAGGAATAAACCTGATCCCCATGGACCCCAATGGCCTGTCTGATCCGTATGTGAAGCTCAAGCTCATACCTGACCCAAAAAACGAGACCAAGCAGAAGACCAAAACCATCCGATCCAACCTCAACCCCAAATGGAACGAGACTTTTAATTTGTGAGTATTTTACCTGTTGTTATCATAAATAAGTCAAACAACTACATACTCGTACGGACGGGTTGCTTGTGTCACTTATCTACAGTCAGTCAGTCAGTCAGTCAGTCAGTCAGCCTGCCTGCCTGCCTGTCTGTCTGTCTGTCTGTCCATCCCTCTATCCATCCATCCACATCCACCCAATTGTCCACCCACATATCCCTCTATCCATCCATCCCCCAATTATCCACCCACAATATGTATACCTCTATCTATTTGTCCATCCATCCACCCCCCAATTGTCCACCCACTTATCCCTCCATCCATCCATCCAATTGTCCATCCATCCATCCATCCATCCATTATCCCTCTATTCATCCATGCATCCATCCATTAATCCATCTGTCCATCCACCCACCTGCATATCCATCATCCATCAATACGACCCATTCATCCATCCATTCAATTGTCCACCCTCATATCCCTCTAGCCATCCATCCATCCATCCATCCATGTCTTATCTATGTATGGATTCATTTGAACATTGAAACATAACTATTTCTTTAAGTCTCAAGTTAATTTCATTCAGTGTTTTTATGATTCAGTCGTTCACATATAGAAAGGATGTATACCATCTGTTTGTGTTGTACAGCAAGCTGAAGCCCTCAGATAAGGACCGCAGGCTGTCGGTGGAGGTGTGGGACTGGGACCGGACCACCAGGAATGACTTTATGGGATCTCTGTCCTTTGGAGTATCAGAGCTCATGAAGGCTCCAGTCTGCGGCTGGTAACGCTCACTTTTTATTGGCCCTCATGCTTTGTTTGAAATCAACCAGTGTGCTATGAACGAGGCTGAAGTTTCCAGTTTGAAATGATAACAGATGTTTTACTCCACCAAGGAGTTCAGATTCCTCTTTCTTCTCGGTACTATTAAATTTTTTATAACATTAATAGCTCCAGTTTCTGACAGGTAATTTATTTTTATGTTCAGCGCACCTCAGCCTATTAACATAGTAATGGTTTAAAAGACAAAAAAGACTGTTGGTGCATTGTTAAAAATGCCCATGAACAGTCTTTTAAGATTAATAAAAAATGAAGATAATATAATGGAGTAGAAGGAGAGGTAGATGAAAAAATCTCAATAAATCCTCTTTCTCTCCCCTCCAGGTATAAGTTATTGTGCCAGGAAGAGGGCGAGTACTACAACGTTCCCATCTCAGAGGAGGACGACGGCAACGAGGAACTAAGGCAGAAATTTGAGGTGAGGATGGCGCTGAAATAATCACCTTTTTCATCCGTTACCTGAATTGAATAACTGACTTAATGTCTCGTCTGGAGTGTTTACAACATCCAAGCATATAACAAATATTACATTGGTTTGACTTTGTTTTAACTCCATGTTAATGTTTGTAATTTTGATCTACACCATTCACCATGAATGCAACTTTTCTAGTAGAAAGCATAAAAACTATCAGGCAGTGTTTAAGAAACGCTGAGTCATTGTAGTTGACTAAAGCTTTGCCAGGATTACAGGAGTTTTAAAATCAACCTAACTTTGTTGAACTACCTAAAATCAATCCAGAGGTTCTCTCTTAATTAACTATAAATGGGTAAGTGTGTCCACAGCTGTTCCAGCTATTCTCAGCTCAAAAACAAACATGTGTTTAAGAATCGGATATTATTATCATATCTTCTCCTTACACACAGCTGCTAAAAATGATGGAGTGACCGCTGCAGTTTTCAAAGACCTCCTCGGGGTTCTGATCTCTTTGCACTCTGACAGTTCACTTCTACGTGTACAGCTTGCGTCTTGTGTAGTCGCAAAATGTTGGCATTTTGTTCTGACATCCCAGTGATTCAACATTGTTATGAATCAATGCACTTCACCCAAAGCATTCCATACATATCCCTTTTTGAGGGCCCAAATCCAACTATGCTTGTCCCCATAGTCCGGTTCATTTGATCAGTGTGAACACAAAGGTACCGTACTCGTATTGCACTTGGTACCATAACCAAGTCCACTTGAAGAGGTGGTCTCGGGCATGATTCATGTGTACTCAAGTACGGTCCGCAGGAGATTTGAACGCAACCGTGCTCAAACTGCACGGTAGATGATGAAGCAGCTCTCCCAGCCATAACTCAAAAAGTTGAAGTTAAAAAAATTCAGGAGTAACCATAACTTTTCTATTAATCACTATTATGCTTTACATTTTGGAAACTGCTATGAGCAAGACAAATGTCATGATGCGTTATGTTTATATTTATTAATTTGACAAACCCAAAGCTCTACCTTCACGGTACGCTGTGCAGGTCTTGTTGTACTTTCTCAACATTTAACAGAGGTTTAGATACTGCCTAATGAGGATCCAACATAATTTAAACTATGGTAATAGTAATGAAGTTTAATGATGCTCATCATGGAGTGAAAACGACTTTCATCAAAACTATTTCACTTTCTTAAGTCCTCAAATAATAAACTGTCACTTCTTAAATGCCACCCAAACACACACATTCAAACATTCAAACACTCACACATCGAACTTGACTGCTTCCAGCAGAGATCACTGATGAGAGGAGGTGACCTGCTTCTTCCTTTACTTTTCCCTCCTGACAGCTGAGCAGCTCTGTCTGTGCTCCTCTGATTGTCAGCATCTCAGTAGGAGCCAAGGTTTCCCTCAGGAAAAATATTTTAAACATGATTTCCTGCTACCCACAGAAAGGAGTCCTTTAATCGTCTAATCAGTTGTTGTTGGTGTCTTTGGGGGGGAGGGGGCTTTTTGCTGAAGAAGGAAACCAGGGAGAGAGAGTTGGGAATGACATGTGAGGAGCCACAGGTCGGAGTTGAACCCACTTAGAGGACTATGACCTCCATACATGGGATGTGACCTAACCGTTAGCCCATCTCCGCCCCTCATTAGTTAGTTTTATTTAATGGTTATTTTTCCAGGAATCTTCCCAACATTTATTTTACAAGGAAGTCTGGGCTCTCCTTAGTTTGAATCATGAATTGTATATTAAGGGGCGCTGGTGATGTGGTGGTTCGAGCATGCGCCCCATGTGTGGAGGCTGTGGATCCCACCTGTGGCTCCTTTCCCACATGTTGTTCCCCACTCTCTCTCTCCCTGATTTCCAGCTCTATCCACTGTCCTATCTCTCCAATAAAGGCAGAAAATTACCAAAATAAATCTTAAAAAGAAAAAAACCCTAACCCTGCTGACTGGCTGAAGTATAGGTCATAATCTGCCTCCTCCATGTAAACAGATGGGAAAAAGGTCAAACTATAAAGCTAAAATACATATAATTCAACCTGAAGTCTGTCATGATAGTTGGTATCATGTTTATGTCCAGATGTTCATTTTTCTGAGTAGTCTGGAATGACATCACGATTGACAGCTCTGTTGAAAAATGCGACTCCTTGCGGCTTCCCAACTGAATTATCAGAGTAGAGGAGGAAGTGTAAACGAAATTAAAACTAACAACACAGTTATTGAACTTTCTGTAAAGGTGAATATCAAAAAGTGACATGAATCTGTTCTCCTGTGGACTGTACCCACTCTGTAGGTTGCTTACCCTAACAAAGGGGCGTGGCTTCAATTCTGCTGTTCTACCAGCTTCTGCCCATGTTCAAATTTTGTCACCAGTGCAATATGTAAGCGCCTGCCACGGGGGTATTTTGGCTTCACTTCATACATTTTTTAAACGTATGGAGATGCTGTCCATATTATTATACAGAAATGCCAATTAGTTATAACTGAATGTTCAGTTTTAAAAAGGGAAGGGCAGAGATAGGTCGATATCCTATCACTGATTAGTTTTCTAAGACATACAGTCCATATATAAAGTCAGCCAATTCTCATTTGCACCTTGTTTAATATTGCCATTTATTCCCAGTCCATGGTGCCTCATTCAGACGCACAAGTTATACAACACACCAGGCAAACTACTAACTCCAGTGTAAACTTCTATGTCTATTAATAGAACGGGTGCGTACATATGTTGTTAGGTCAGAGCAAAGGATGGGTCAATGAACACAGGACGGTGTGTGCCATGTGTCAATAACAAGTCAATTAGAACATTTACATGCATATTAAAGTCGTGCTACAGCTAAAGCTTGATTAGGTCGTTTAACTGGACAACTTTGCTCGTCTTTGTTCTTATAGGACCCAGGGAGAATCGATTTATTGACGGAAGTATGCACCACTCGGCTATGACAGGTGGCGATGCTAACAAGTTAGCAAGCGGCAAACTGGTTGTGCGTCGTGAAAATGGACGACTTTACAGCTCTGTACATTACATATAAAACTACAAATTCAATTCTTAACTATAGCTCTATGGCCTGAGTTTGATATCCTCTTTTCTTCATAAACCCCTCTGTGGTTCTCTCCCTTTTCTCCCCCCTAGCCTCCTGCTCCCTCCTGTGTGATTGGTGAGACTTATACTGTACAGAAGCTTCTTCATCCTGTGTCCCGTTTTCATATTTAATGCAAACGTTTCTCTCTCCCCTTCTTCTCCCTCCCCCCTGCTCTCAGGACTGCCAAATAAACTTTAGTCTAAAGGTAGCTCCTCTCCTCTCCTCTCCTCTCGTTTCCTCTCCTCTTGTCTCCCCTCCTCTTGTCTCCTCTCCTCTCCACTTGTTTCCTCTCCTTTTCTCTCATCTTGTCTCCTGTCCTCTCATCTTGTCTCCTGTCCTCTCCTCTCCTCTTCTCTCGTTTCCTCTCCTCTCCTCTCCTCGTTGTGATAACATCTTCCTTCACCCCTCCTCGTGTCTGATCCATTGTCTTTCCAAGCTGATGCAAACACATTTCATTTACTAACAGGTTGTCCTGGCTGAGGGTTGAGTGTTTTAATAAATCATAATAAAAATCGGTGTGTAATGTATTTGCTGCTCGTTTTGAATTTGAACAATAATGAAGGTTTGCTTCATTGACTTACTCTGTAGAACAATCCTTCGTCCTATAAAGTTGAAGAGTTGTGTCAAATGTAAATACAAACAGAATGGGATGATTTGCAAAACACTGAAACTCTATATGTGATTGAAAAACAGCACAAAGACAACATATCAAATGTTGAAACTGAGTAATTTCCTTGTTTTTGGAACCTTTTAATTTGATGCCGACATCAGTTTAAAAAAATAGTGCAACGCTTTAATGTTATCACAATGATTAGAGAGGAGAGGAGAGAATCTGTAAAGAATCTGTGGATGTCATCGTCTACAGAACATCATATCATTTAAGGATTCAGAGAAAAAGTGGGCGTGATCTTCAGGCCCTCAGACGGCCCTGCATTAAAAACAGACATAACTCTGACAGCTGAAATCTTCCAAGCTGAGAGGAACCAGATCCAGAAACACAGCCACCTTCTCTGGGTCCAGGTTTATTTCAAAAGGACTGAGGTGAAGTTTGAAAACTGTCCCGAGGTCTGACGAATCAATATTTGGCTTTCTGTTTGGAAATCCTTGACACCCTGTTCTCCGCACTAAAGAGGAGAGAGACCATCCGGCCTCTTATCAGCGCTCAGTTCAGAAGTTAGCATCCGGGATGGTGTGGAGAAGCATTAGTGCACATGGCGAGGGTAACCTGCACGTTTGTGAAGGCTCCATTAATGCTGAACCATATGCTGCAAAATAGATAGTTTCTGTTTCAGAGAAGGCCAACAGGTTAATTCAACATGATGATACCAAACTGCATTCTTCAACATTTTACGACAGCATGGCTCTAAAGTGACAGAGTCCATTTGATAAACTGGCCGTCCTGGAGTCTTGACTGTCACCAATCGAAAATGTTTGGAGAATTATGAAGCAATGGCGTTCCCAACGTGACCCTGTCCCAACTTTTTTGAAATGGGTTGCTGGCATCATTGAAAGACATGTCTCACTTTCTACTTTACATTTGTGCTGTGTTATTTAGATATGGGGTTTGAATTTTTCAAAAATGATCATTCTGGTTTTATTTACATTTTACACAACATCCCAACTTTTGAGGAAACGAGGTCGTTCTTTAAACTCACCATAGAGAACTTGGGAAAGGGTGATTAATTCTTCTTTACTCTCAGGAGTTTGTTAGTAAATCTTGGCTCTGCGTTGTTCACGTTTCGCAGCTTCACATTAGTCTGCATGTTTTGTCTCGATGTATTCTGTGTGTGTCGTCTGTAAATCTGTGTCGACATCGTGTGTGTGTCTGTGTTTGTGTTAACATCGGTCTCACTGCAGGTGTATCCTGTGTGTGTATACAGCCTCTTTTTTGTCTATTCTATCTGATCTCGACGCTTGTTTAGACTTGTTCTACTTCTGCCTGGAAACAAGACGACCAAAACAGATTAGAAGACAGTCTCATTTCTAGTTTAAATATGTTGTTACACTAAATATAAGACTCACTCACCTGACGAGTCCAGATAAACATCTTATTTTAATATATTATAAGCCTAAACATGAGGCACACATTTCTTGCAATGAGTAAAAATATCTGAATATGCAGGAGGTAAATTTTACATGTTAAGTGTTTTGAGATGACATGTACGTCTTCTCTTATTTCTGGACAGTTCAGTAAATATTTATTGCTGCCTTTGCAGATATTACTTCTCATTTCAAACAATGCACAACTTATTTTTGTCTTTTTTTATATCTTAAAAAGAGACGAGTATCTGGACAGGTGAGTGTGACTTAAAGGAAGTGTAACAACATGTTTCTGATTAGAAATGAGACAAAAACATTTGTTTGGATTTCAGTCTGTGCAGTGAAAAGAAGAAACATTTGCGGCCACTAGATGTCAGCAGTGAATTGAGATACATTGCCCAACTTTTTGCAGGAACAATGAGCCACAGTCCTCCTGCCTTAGTGTGTGTTTGTGAGTGTGTGGGTGGGTGTGTGTTTGCGTGTAAATCAGGTGGCCTTCATCGTTGTGCTTTTTGGAGGTAACAGGTTTTTTCTTTTCCACCCACACAAATTGTCACCTTGCTTCTTATTCATACTCAGAGATTTGGTTCCCACACTGGCCTCAGACTGTGATCATTCCTGCTCTCATTTGTGTTTTTTTGTGTTTTACTTCTCTTGACATTTTTACCGGAGTGGTTTTCTCTTGATCATGTCCACGATGAAGCATCCAAAGTCTTAAGCACAGTAATGAGTGTACAACCATGATTACACTTATATTATCTGTGTGTGTCTCTGTGTTAGAGATGAAATCCTTTATCCGACCTCTACTCGGTGTGTGTATAAATGTCCGCGCTCAGTCAGCTTTTGTGGCCTTTTCTCATAAGTCAAGTGCATTTAGTGAGTCGGCCCTTTGGCTCCTTCTCCCTGTGGTTTCAGGACCAAGCGCGTGTGGAAGACTCTGATCAGGTGCGTCCTAAAGGAAGGAAGTAAGGTTGCTGTTCGCTCGGCTCGGCCAGGCTTCTCTCACTGGCTAAAGCTTACAGGTGTGCTGTGATCTGCTGCGTCTGCTCTGCTTCCTGTTTCTCTAAAGGTCGATGCCATTAACCAAACTACAGCACTGGTCGTCTCTTTTTAATGAGCTTTGATTCCTGTGTGAAATAGTCTGAATTTGCTGCAAAGGTGACAGTGTCGACAGTTTCAGCTCGTTGTTGGATAACTTTTTTTTGTCCTGTTTGGGCATGAGCTTTATGGACAGCTTATCCGGAACGAATCTGACATCCCCTTTTCCCTCCAACTTAAGTTTATTCTCAGACAACATTTCATGTTTCATAATAATTTGACATTAATTGGCTAGATTTGTTATCGGCTCTTCTGGCTAAAAAGCAGTCAGCATATTTATTTAAAATAAACTTGATACCAATTTGTTATAGTTTTAATTCATGCTAAATGCTAACATGGTGTAGCATGTGGGTGTAGATTTCAGATGTGATGTTGACGTTCAGCATGAGTTTGGAGTTGTGTTGTGTGAATTCTGGACATGGCAGTCTCGGTTGCATCCTCGTGCAGAGACTCAAAGAAAAACTTGTTTGTTGTTTAGCGATGACGTTGGGTAATTTTCAGTTTAATGCACTGTAGTTTGAAAGCTTGTTGCAGCATCGTGACATGCTGTGAGATTAAGCATGACTCTGGCATGACGGAGGGATTGTTGCGACTACACGAGTAAAACAGAGACTTGTCATGGCCAGATATGAATGCCACAGTGTGGTGTTGTTGTCTGCATCTCTCTGACAACTTTGCGTTAGTCAAAATCTTTCTGAGCTGTTTGTTCACACATGCGCCTCACAGCAGGTTCTTTACCTGTTGGACAGGAGAGTTGGGATGTCTCAGGAGGTGAGACATGATGTAAAAAGAATGAAATGGAAGTTGTGGATGAAGCAACAAGGTCGCTGTGACAACCTTTTGTGCCAATGCTACATGCAGTTAGACACAATCACAATATCAACAAAAGAGCGGAGAAGAACAAACTGGTGGAAAGGAACCATAATAAAGCCGTTTCATCATACCTTCCAAACAGTCTAGTCGGGCGCTGGTCTTAGGATTTAAATGCCATCACCCCCTCCCGCTGCCTTCTCACATCAGCTCATCCCAACTTCAATCAGAAAATCCACCTGGATACCATTAGGCAATACTCTGTGTAAAGAAAGAGTGAAAAATTAGTCCGTTTGCGTTCACACATGCACCTCACCCTGAAAACTTCAGGAAGTTTTCAGGAGTTTTGTGCAGGTGTGAAAGCACCAGTGCAGGTTTCAGGTTTAAGTGATGTCAACAAGTGAAATAATGAAATACATACACTATTTTACTTTTTCTTTTCTACACATTATAATGTGCACTGTGATTTCTATGGAAGCCCTAAGAGGATACACATCTATACTTTGTATTTCACTCTTCTCCTGTGATAACAAGTCATTTCAAGGTACAAGGTTTCTCTATGGGTAACAAGAAAGGTACACTTGTTCTTCAGACAGGAGATCCAGTACTGCAAAGATACATACAACACATGACAGTACAAACTCAAGGTTACATTACATTAGGTCCAGGTAAAGTCCTTTCACAGACACACATTCAAAAGTTTAAAATGGCTCTGAGAAAAACTGTGTTGATTAATCTTTATGGTCCACTTAGGGCTTCCGTAGATTTCAGTGATGGTTTTGTTCTCAAATAATTTAGCTTTCCCGTCTTCAAAATCTGCAGGCAGCCCCCTGCTGCATTGTTTTCCAGTCTTGCAAATAAGTACATTTGATTAAATTGACTGTTTTCATGGAGACATATTTGTGTTCATTTTTTCCACAAAGGCACCAAAGTCTCATTTCACCTCATTGATTTTAAAGTCTGCTTCTCAATCAGTGAATCTGGGCTGTGAGGGTGAAAATGAGCAGAGTGAGTGTGTGAGCAGAGGATGACGATGATTCTTCAGATGATGAAATGTTTGTGTGTACGGAATGGCATCTTAAATAAACATAGCTAATAATTAATTTTTAGTCATATTATGTACTCAAACGAAAGGTCAGCTTCAAGGAAATAGTTACCTAATATGAGCTACACAGTGCCGCTTATATTTATGTTTGTTAGTCGTTATTGCTCTTACATAAGACCGTTTGTGCCCTGAGTGCAGAAAGCCAAGCTTGGCCCGGGTAAGAAGGCGATCACTGAGACAGACGATGGACACTCCAGTCTGCTACCTTCCAACAACCTGGACCAGGTCAGGCTCAGCGACTTCATCTTCCTGGCCGTGCTGGGGAAAGGAAGCTTCGGCAAGGTGAGTGGATTTTCTCTGCGTAAAGGTTGACATAAATGATCTTCTCCTACCTTACTCTCCCCCCTGTTTCTGCCTCCCTGTAGGTGATGCTGGCTGAGATGAAGACCACTGAGGAGCTGTACGCCATAAAGATCCTGAAGAAGGACGTGGTGATCCAGGATGATGACGTGGAGTGCACCATGGTGGAGAAGAGGGTCCTGGCCCAGCAGGACAAGCCGCCTTTCCTCACATTTCTGCACTCGTGCTTCCAGACAGTGGTAGGCTAAATTAAAAATCTCCTTGAAAACACACCAGGTCAGCTCACGCAGGGTCAGGTTTGATAAATTCACCAGTCTAAATGTTTTTCAGAGAGCAGACAAGGACGTGCATGACAAGTGCTGTTAAAAAAAGGAGAAAAGAGAACAAACAAACCTGAATTAGAAAGTCTTGTACGTGTGTTGCATTTATTTGTTTACTCTGAGTCATGAGAGGGCCAGACAACACAACCTGAGGGCATGTACTGTACGAGCCAAGAAACATGCACTCATGATTGCGTTTTTTTAATCAAACAAAATGCACAAACACAGAAAAATTCAGTACTGAAGTCGCCAGTGTATTTGTGCAATGTAGACAGTGCTACCTCCTCTGCTCTCTGTCTTTATGTTAAGAGGACATATTATCCCCCTTCTCCACCTTTTCAAACAGTCCCCTGTGGTCTAAATGAAACATCTGTGCTGTGCTTTGGTCAAAATATAACATGAATCAAGCACCAGAGGAGGTTTGTGACCCTGTATAAACCAGCTCTCTCAGAACGCTCCGTTTAGATGCGTGTGTCTCTTTAAATGTAATGAGCCACCCTGAGTTTTCCCGTAGACATCACTCCTCTGTAGAGAGAATAAAAATGGCGGACCTGCACAAAAGTTTTCTCTAGGCTGGAGGTGGAGTCCATGGGTGGAGATACCAGGGGAGGGGAGAGGGGATTTTTTTTTGTGACATCACAAGGAGAGCACATTTGAAACGGAGCATTTTTCTCTGTGTTGTCTTATGCAGACCACAAACAAAGGACTGGATGGGTTTATTTCACATTTTGTGGGTCTATAGACACTCAGGTTACCCAAATAAATGTTCAAAAACACTATGATAGTGGATTTTTTCAGAATATGTTCCTTTTAAGAGAGGTCAACCTAACTTTTGCCTCTTCTTTATGAGATGCCAAAAGAACTTGAGAGACATCAGAATCTGAGAATGACAGACCTGTGAATTTGAATGGACCACCACAGATGTATCTCTCTCTCTCTCTCTTTATTTCTATCTGTAGTCTTTTTTAAAGCTTCTTAACTTTATCATACTGTCCATCATTAAAATATTGAGATTGTACCGTGTTGAAACACGTGGTATCAAAAAGTCATCATACATTTTGATGACTTGTTTCAGATCTGCTGTGAACCTGGTCTGAGGTCAGCTCAGCCTCCAGTACTCTGTCCCCATGTGTATTTTCTTCTTATTTCGTTTTGCCATTAAGGGATTGTCAAATACAGCTGGCCTTGCGTCGGGCCAGACTTGTCATGTGCTGTAAGGAACCAACGCTGTTAGCCAAAGAGAATCCATCCTGACAGATGTCTGTGTTGAGTGTTTTCATTTTTCCATGAAGCGCTTTGTTGTCGGCGCTTTAGGTCACCTTGTCATAGAAAGTGTAGCAGGAGCGCTGAAAGACCTCAGGAGGCGAGGTTAGGGGAGGCAAAACTGAAGTGAATCTTTATATTTCGAGGCCCGTCAGGGGGCAGAAATCCGTTGTGCTGTGTAATTCAATTTTTCTCTTCTTTTCCCAACCTGTGCCCCCTCCATCCTTAACTCCCTCTCCTCTATTCTATCTGTTTCTCCCACAACAGGACCGTCTCTATTTTGTCATGGAGTATGTGAACGGAGGAGACCTCATGTATCATATCCAACAAGTGGGCAAGTTCAAGGAGCCTCAGGCAGTGTAAGACATTATATCAGCAGCTAAATCGATTCATTTTCAACTGCAGAAGAGAGACAGACTTTCATTTTTAAATTAAGATAAATCAAACATCCTATTGTAATTATGTTAAAAAAATGTTTGATTTATCTGATTTTTGTCTTCTTGTGTTGTGTGGTTGTTGTTGCAGGTTCTATGCAGCAGAGATCGCTGTTGGTCTCTTCTTCCTGCACCTCAAAGGCATCATATACAGGTGAGTATGGACTAACATATCCAATGTGTAGTGCACGCTTGTTCTCTACATGTTGTTTCTGCGTTTTAAATACCCACCGTTAAAAATGTTGTTAAATACTAAAAAGATGCTTTTCTGCAGGTGATCCAGTAAAGAGTCAGCCTCTAGTTAAAGCTCAGACATGTGGTGTAGAGTTTCTTTAGCTCTTTCTTCGAATCACCTAAATACTTTAAAGAGGACATATTACCCCCCTTTTTCTTTTTTCAAACAGTCTCCTGTGGTCTAAATGAAACATCTGTGCTGTGCTTTGGTCAAAATATAACATGAATCAAGCACCAGAGGAGGTTTGTGACCCTGTATAAACCAGCTCTCTCAGAATGCTCGTTTTGGTGTGTGTGTCTCTTTAAATGTAATGACCCCCCCTGAGTTTTCCCAGTAGACATCCCTCCTTCATTAGCGAAAATAAAAATGGCAGATATGCGCAAAAGTTTTGTTCAAGTCTGGGGGTGTAGCCCATGGGTGGAGATATCAGGGGAGGGGATTTTGTTTTTTTTTACCAGAATCCCACTGTGACATCACAAGGAGAGTACATTAGAAACGGAGCATTTTTCTCTGTGTTTAAGACTTATGCAGACCAGAAACAAAGGACTGGATGGGTTTCTTTCACATTTTGTGGGTCTATAGACACTCAGGTTATCCAAATATATGTTCACAAACACTGTAGAAGTGGATTTGTCATAATGTACCCTTTAAATTGGGATACATATTTTTTTTAAATAAATAAACTGAGCATTACAGAGAGTGAAGGCAGCTGGCCTGCTGAAGCTAAATGTAAAAGAAGAGTCCACATCTTAGTGATATTTGAATGTTTCTGTGCTCCTTCAGGGATCTAAAGTTGGACAACGTGATGCTGGACTCAGAGGGACACATAAAGATCGCTGACTTCGGCATGTGCAAAGAGAACATGGTGGAGGGAGTGTCCACACGCACCTTCTGCGGCACTCCAGACTACATCGCACCGGAGGTAAGGACGAACACGGAGGAGTGTTTGTGTTAATGTTTGTGTGCATTCATGAGTTGATGCACGAGGTTGTCTCTGTAGCTGTCTGGCGTCCGCCTGTGTCACCCTTGTGCTTCAGATTAAGGTCACTGCCTCAGGATAGACACAAACACACATGCATGCAAACTCTCTCCGATGACGTGAGAATACAATTCAGAGAGACGCCAAGAGGGTCGGCAAGCGGAACCAAATTTAACCCCAAACAGACCAGCTGTGGTCTCTGTGGGGACGCATGGGATTTACATTTTGAGCACTTTTTATCAAAAATGTTTCTTAATTTATTTTCAGCAGTAGGACTCTAATTCAAGTCAAAACCACTCCTCTCTTGTCTCTTATGGGATCATGGTCGTGTAATTATGCCTGGACAGAAATTAAGATATTTAGCTAGCATGCATGCAGCTGAAACAGCTTCTGACCAGCAGCTGTGTGCCTTTTCTGCTTACCACCAAAGGTTTGGTTTTCATCAACTGTTGTGATTCCCCCTCATGTTGCAGAAAAAGGAGCGCTTGTTTACTTGGATTGTTTATTTCTTTCAACTTTTAACTTTTTTTACACCTGCGAAATTTAAACGCTTCAGACATGCCATGAAAGTGAAAGATTTTAACACTAACAGTCATCCATCAGACCCCTTGTTTCTGGATTCTTTATTGTCATGATAGGTTCAACAGTATTATCCAACCCGTCTCACATCGTCCACTCTGAGAATGAACTCCTACCAGAGTTTAAGTTCAGTCGAATGTGGTGTAACTTTACGTAATTAAAAGGAACAATAACCTGACTTTATGTAACAAAAGCAGAACAAAAGCCCTCCTCTTGAGTCATAATATCTGGAAAGCAGGTGAAGTGTCCATAACTCAGTGACATTTCGTCTCTGACTTCACCCAAAATGGTCAAATGAAGCTGAGTTATACTTCAAGTACTGTCTTGGCTCTCCTTTCTCCGCAGCTATTATGAGTTAGTGAGTCCCATTTAAATGCGGAGATGGGTTATTGATCGTCTCCAAAGCCTGAATGACTGACTGTTAGGTCAATTCCACCCCATGAGCGCAAGGTGAGCATGCTGAGACTGCTCAGAGTCAGACTGACACTAATGCACACGCCTGGGATGACACAGCAGGGGGGGGGGCAGTGCACACAGTTAATGTCACACACTTTCTACTCAATCACAGAGTCAAATGCATGGCAGTATCACCTGCACACAGCTCTTCATACATGGTTAGTTATCAGTATGCACACATGGCTTTCAGTGGATATGGTAACACACAGATTTAGCACACACACACACACACACACACACACACACACACACACACACACACAATAACAAACTCAAAGCGGAGGTTGACCTTCAAAACCGACTCACAGACGTGACATTTTCAGGGACAATCGTGCAGTACTCCCTAAATTGTGTGCGACAGAACGATCAACTTTAAACTTCTTCACTATCTTAATTTGACCTCAGGGGTTGGACACATGCTCCATACAATTAACTTTTCATAGCTCACTTTGAATCATGTGTCTCCGGTTATTTCATCTGATTTAAGTACGTGAATGCACATCATCAGCTGTCTGAAGCAGTTGAAGAAGTGCAGGACATGACTTTGGACTACATTGAATCATCCTACGTCCTACATCAGGAAGTGTTCAAATGATGTTTCTGTGCTGAAGTTGCATAAACATGACTCTCTCTGAAGTTGATAGAGATTTCATGAGCAAGTACTTTGATAGAGTATTGTCAATTTAAGAAATGTCATCACAGTCACAGAAAGTCACTTTGAAGAAGGAAAAAAAGTAAATGCATTTTTAACGTTTGGAAAAAGCCATTGATTACACAGAGAATGATGATAAGAAATATGTCGAAATGAATTGTTTGTCAGCACTCATGGGGAAATATAAAGTAGCGCATACATGCACATATTCAAACACAAACAAATGAAAACATCCATGCGCTAGCACACAGTTTTTAAGCCGTGTTTACTTTGACCTATTTAGCTCAGTGACTTTAGCACAGAGAGGAGGGGGAGAATAGAGAGAGACGGTCAGACATCACGAGGTGTTAACGGTGAAGGACAGAGAACGAGGGGACGAGTGAGCACTATCGCTGAGGAGAGCAGGAATTCAAAGGTGACAGAGCGGCGTAATGATGCCCCTTTCCAGGAGAACATTTGAGGATATTAATGTGTCTGACACGGGCCATTTCCCGCTACGCCCTACTTGGCCCCCACTGCGCTGAGGCATGGGTGTCCTCTTTCATTTCGTTCCCTCCTCTGCAGCCTGAAACAGGGGTGATATGTCAAGATGATAAGAGTACATATTTAGACATGAATGAATGTGTCAGAGTATTGCTGAGCGTGTATTTATTACTAAGTGACTCATCTAACGGTAAGAAAAAGAATCAGAAAACGGTCAAAACTGAGCAGAACTGATTCAAAATTGTCAGGTAGACGATATAATTTGGTTTGCAGAAATGTGGCTAATGTTAGCTAACGTGCTAGCACCGCCAACCTTCAGACCTCCTTGCAGGTTCACATCCACTTGACTGTGCTGAATGTAGTTATGCATTGTCAAGTAGAAACAGCATAAATACATTTTCATCTCCATTTTCTAGATCAAATTCTGCCAAGCCGCACCGCTGCTACAGGATGCTATATGTTCACTGTGCTTACTTATATCTGGGTAGAAGAGCAGCAGAACAGGACCATTTATTAGAGCTACCGCCAGTCTATGATGACAGCCCCAGCTAGTGGAGGGCGGCTGCATGGCAGTTTGAGAACAACATTTGATGGGCACCAATGGACAACATATGAAAATATTAACTAATACCGATCAGTAATTCTGGTGAGTAGCGAGGTTGATGAAGTTTGACCGTTTAGTTGACTACACATGCACCCCTAGCAGTGATTCAGTATGTTGTGCTTTCTTAGCCAAATAAATGCAGGATCTTAACAGGCTGATAACTCTGAACAGTATATTTGTCATTGTCAGATAATTAGTCTCAGTTGTTTTGCTTCAGGCGTCATCATCCGAAACCGCATGCTTTAGCAGCTCCAATTTTAAACCCTTCACTGATTACTCAACACTAAGAACCAGCATTTTCTTTTCCAGATCAGAGCTATTAGTAGTGCTACAAACTCACTCCAGCTGGAGTTTGAGACGTGAGAAAAAGTCAGCGAGAGAAGAAGAAGGTGGAGAAAGAAGGAAGTGAGAATGAAGAACTGCAAATGAGAGAGAAATGCAGAGAGAACGAACTAGAGAGGGTTTCTATCGGCTGAAAATGAAGCGGAGGTGGTACCTTTCTTAGTGTGTGCACATACATGTGCATTAGTACTGTACACATGCTTCATGTTTGCAGGAAGGCCCATCAACTGAGTACTTGACTTACCCCAACAGCCTGTCAAATGAATGTTTCCCCCAGGATACACAAACCACTTAAGGGAGATGTCGTCATTCACATGGTGGACTGATGAAAGACAGACAGAAGTTTAGATCAAAGATCTCATTAATAAGACTTTCACACTAGCAGAAAACTCCTGAAAGACTCCTGATATTTCCCCAAGGAGCTGCATATGTGGATACAAATCACCAAATATTTCACTCGGGCTTCACCCGGAGTTTCTCCCGTCAGACCCCCTAGTATTTTTTCTGCTGCAAGTCGGAGAGAGCTGATGTGAGAACGCTGCACAATATTCTCTGAAGAATTGACCTCGAGCCAACAGGAAAGTTTTCAAATTGGCCATGAACTAGAAAATACTTAAATTCATGACAAACTAAACAGAACATGACACAAGGGTGGTGGTCTCTCTATCTCTCCCAGCCGCTTGAACAACATGATTACAGTCATTTCTTAGTGAAAAAACTAAATGTCCTTGTCCTTGTCAGCAGGTAAATTTAATTTACTGTTCTGTGAAACAAGATTACAGCTAAAAGTTATTTTACACTGCAAAAAGCATAAGAACAGAATGTTGCTTTTTTTTGTTTTTGTTTGGAGGACGAGGTTTGTAGGAGCAAAGGTTGGTACTTGTGTGCGTGCGTGTGCGTGTGCGTGTGCGTGTGCGTGTGCGTGTGTGTGTGTAGCGAGGAGAGCCTTAAATAGCTTGCAGACTGTTCCACAACTGTCACGTAGCATTTGGCCTAACGAAGCGAATTGTCTGCAGCATTGCCCATGCACATACACACACAAGCTCCGGCAGATAAACACACACATACAGACACACACAAACGCAGCGTGTCCAAGCCACACGCACACACACACACAGACGCTCACGGTGACTTAAAACATGCTGTGTCTCAACAAAGATATTTTGAGAAAATATCATCACAATGATATAAAGATGAATGTACACACAAACGCATACACACAAACACGTGCGCTCTCCAGTGAATCAGCAGAGCTTTTACGTCCTGAGGCCTTCATACAATTAAGTGAAAAATAACACACAAGCAGTGCAGGGAGTCAGGCACAAGTTGTGTTTGTACGCTCACATCCTTTGCAGCCATGCAGAAGGAGAGAGCACTTTGTGTGTTTATCAGCCTCCTGCAAAACAACACACCAAACATGCACACATCTGCATTATAAATAAGTTGAGAGCTCCAGATTTAGATTCAACACGCTGGACGATTCAACACGAAGGTCACCGTGCCTCAAACTGTAAATGTCCACTGGTGTTGCTGCAGAGAGACGTCGGGGCGGGGCAAGGTCAGCCAGTCACAGCAGCGTCACATTAGCGCTGTGCTGTGCAGAACGGCCTGAAACTGATCCAAACAGTCGCCTTTTTCTGAACTGTAGTTGACCTTTCTGCTTTTCTCTTTTCCTTTGTTTTATTCTTCTCTCGCAACCTCACTGACACTGAATCCCCCTCCTCCCCCCTCCTCCCCCTTCCTCTGACTTTTAAGTCTCTCTCTTTTGTTCTTTAGCTCAAGTAGTGACAGCTCACAGAAAACATGATGTTAGAATACAGCAGGAAA